AAATATTCTATAATGGTGCCACAGGGATTATTAATGCTGGGGCAAAACATAACACCAAAAACATGGTTGGAAAACTGGCCCTAGGTGAAATTGTGTGTATGTCTGTGACTGTGTCAATAAGTTCCAGCTCCCTCACAATCCTGAATTGGATTAATAAATGGAAGAAAGCTAACTTGGTGGATAGGATGATTGCGTCTTTGCCATCATTGTTTGCAATGGTGGTCCAGCTGCATTATCATGAGATGCTAATGTAGTGCATTTTGCTCCTTGATGATTTCTTATGAATGTATTATATGTTGAATTTGGTTTCCTGTGTCCTGTAATCTTTTGTAACTTTTTCAGAGAAATATTCTTCATTAATATAATTCTGAAGCTCTCATTGGTGTCTTCACAATAAGACAAAGGATTTCAACAGGATCTCATGCATTGTCTCTTTTTCTAAAAAAAAAATATGAAAATCTCATTCATTTTCAGATTTTGATTTCCCCAATGTGGATGTTACTCAGCAGCCTGGAGGTGGCATTCACTTCTTAGCATCTGGAACCCTGCGGACTGTTCAGGAAGAAAATGAATCTGGGGGTAAATAATATGTTTGTTTGATCTTTTTAAATTGCTGGACAACAGTGCTTTAATAAATTATTTTGTTGCTGCTTCCATTAGTTTGACTACAAAACTGATAATATTCAATCATCAGTCTGGAACAAGTAGTACTGTAAGTATAAGGAAGGACCTCTAGTATGAACTGAAAGATTCAGAGGCACTAAAAATGAAATAGTTTCATGTTGTGGAATTTATAACAGATGTTCAGGAGAAAGTTTAGATTCAAATCTCCCCTTCTCAAATCTCCAACAGTAAAAATACAGAATATATATATATACCTTAAATACCTCGGCTTCTGAACTTCCTTTGCACCCCTCCCACAACCCCATCTACAGTACACCCTTGCAGCAGCTCCCTGGCTCATTCCTTGTAATAGTATGGAGGGAAAGGGTGCTGTTCTCTCAGCTAGATGAGTCACACTAAAAAAGACTCTGATAAATTCATCCCACTATCATATCCATTAGGTTCTATCCAAACTGTTGAAAGGAGAATATACCAGTCTTAGTACAGAAACCCAAGATGTAAGAAAAGAAAAAAATAATTTAAGTTCATTAGATAGACTCATCTATTATCACCTTGTGGATGTCCCCTTACATACTCACTTATTCAGGGAAATGTTCAATGCCATTTGTTTCAGAGTAACATGTTTGATTAATGAAATACCGAAAGTGTAAAGAAGTTAATTAGGCTGTAGGAATCCACCTTTTCATAGTAGATTGCATTAGCAAAGAAAATACATAACCTCTGTGACAGATTAGAAAACATACAAGTGTTTGTAATTTCTCCAAATGCTCTAAAGCCACGCTGCTGTGGTAAAGAGGTCTGACTTCAGGGCTGCTGTCTGTCTGCTGCCAGTGCATCAAGGTACTGTACTTCTCTAGCATATTGATAGATAGCCCTATGCTGAAGGCTGCAGCACATGGTGGTACAAAGGGGATTCCAAACATAAACTAAACACTGTGTATTCTGCAGATATGTTTAACTCCATATATTACTAAGGAGGCACATGGTTTTGCAATTGTGTTAATTCCATGGCTGGGAATTTCAGGTGGATAGCTGCGTCAGCATGCGTAGTCTGCAAAGGAACAAGTAATAGGTTTATTCCATGCTGAAAAGAGAAAAGAGAATACACAATGTTTCGGCTGTGAAGCCTTCTTCAGGTGTGAGAAAGACAGGGCAGACAGCAAAGATTAAATATATCAGGAGAACAAAAGCTGGGAGAGGGGAGAGGCCACTCAGGAAGTGCAAAGTGGAGAGGGGTGAAGAGAGGTGTGAAGTCAAAACGTGCATGAGAATAGAGAAGATTACACGAAAATAAGTCGGTCATTGAGAGAAGGGGGGTGGCGTGAACCTTCATCAGGATGAGTTTCGTTTCTGTTGTTTTTCTGCTATGGGAGTTGAGAAACCCTTCTTTGAGAACAGAGACAGGGAGATCAGTGTGAAACTATGGGATTGGAGAAATCTTTCATCTTCACAGCCCTTACATGTTCTCTGAAGCGGTCTCCTAGTCTCCTTCTGGTTTCTCCTACGTAGATAGCTGGGCTGATGCAGCGAGTTCTGTTGCAGAGGAAAGTGCCTGATGGGGAGCTGTGAACCAGAAGTTTACGTAGATTGGGTGATCGGTGGTATGAGATGATTGGGAGGTTAGAAAAAAGGGTACCTATGGAGGGATTGCCCTGTAAAATGGAGTAGTTGTTAATAATGGTCCTGGGGATAGAAAGTGTGTTAGGGTGGTAGGGAAGCACCAAAGGAATGTGGTTGTGAGATTGGGAGTTTCTGGTCAAGTTGATGATCCGAGGGCTGTTTTTGGCCCAGGTGAGGGCCCTAGCTATGTCCCATCCTGTTGCCCATGGCGACTCCACTAACTTGCTGATAAAAAAGGTTATTAAATGAGAAGGCATTTAGTGTGAGAACCCATTCCGCAAGACGCACTAGAGTGTGGGTAAGTGGATCAAGCACTGTGCGTTTGTCTAGCATGTGCTTGAGGGCTGTAAGACCGTCATAGTGCGCCAGAACACTCACCACACATCAGCTATTAGTGGGGAGGAGATCAGAGTAATGAATCCAATTCATAGATGGGGATAATTAGGAGGCCATGATTGGTAAGGACTAATGGGAAATTTGGTCAGGAAGCCGGGGTTACACCCCTACTCTTATCGAGAAACGCCTTGAGATTTTTAATGACCATAGAGAGTAAGGACCTTGGTTTTAAGTCTCATCCGAAGGATGGCTCCTTTTTACAGTATAGTGTTCCCGTCACTATACTGTGGCATTAGGACCCACATGGACCGCAGTGTGAGCACCCACCGCTGGCCCCACTAGCACCTCTTTCAGCAGCAACCTTAGTTTTTCCCAGGTCTCCCAACCGGGTACTGTCCAGGCTCATACCCGCTGAGCTTCAGTGGGTTGCCAGTTGTGAGTTGAAGGGTGATATAGCTGCTTTGAGATGGATCTTAGTTGGAGGAGTCATATATTATTGTTATTTTATTTTTTATTTCTTTTTATTGTATATTTTTTCTTCTACCACTCAGGAATTGAAAACCCAGCGTTCATTCCTGATGAAGATCAGCTTACTTCCCTGAGGCCTCCACCCTGGGTGCCCAGAGAAGACACCGTGGTGCCCTCACAGAGTGCACGTCTTCACCTTCCCTGGTCTCCCAATACCTTCAGTCGCCTCACCCCCCTGAGGCTCAGTGCAAGATCCACAGACTCCTTCCAGATGGCGGATGCTCCCACTAACAGTGAGCATCCTCATTCGTTCCTGCCCAATGGGAAAAAACATTAACTATTGCAAATCTTTCTGCTCCTTTTCAAATCACAGAAAACTAAATCTGAGTATCACTATATCAATGTCATGGAAATAAATGTACAGGGACCACTGATATTTATTTTTGATTTTTCAAGCTGTGTTAATATAACCTTTATGTAATTTACCATTTATCACAGTATTTGGTAAGGGAGAAATAAACACAAACAGTTTAATTTATTTTGGTAACTCTTAAATTGATATCCTGAAAGGTTAATGAAAGGTTAATGTGACAATTTTCACAGGTAGTACTTACTTTTTTAATCAACAAATACTCCAGATTTTATGTACTATGCATTCTGCTTCATAACATTTATATTATTAATGGAGTTGTTAAAACAGAAGTTCAGGAGGAGGTCAAATTAAAATCTCATTCTTCCGCTCTCCTACTGTATGTACTGTATAAACACTAGCTGGGTAACCATGACCTCCTAGCACTCCTCATTCCACCCCCTCTGCACTAGTGTAGCTTCCTCCCCAGTTCATTCCTGTTGTCACAGCAGTTCTTCTGCCAGAGCTATCATTACCTGAGCCAATTATTTTACATTATTTTATTGTGGTACATGTAGTTTTATATAATATTTGTTTTGTTAGGAAAATATTTCATTTTCAGATACTGAATGCAGCCCTCTTCTCCTAAAACTGTATATATCTTGCTTTTCTTGTATTATCAGCAACATATCAGATGCAATATGTAGAGCTGCTAAAATGAAGGGCTTTAATAAGACATATGCATCTAAGAACATCTCTTAAAGGGATTTTAGAGACTGATTTTTCTTCTCCTAAACGACTCTATTTTAGGGTTAAATGACTTGATATTTGAAATATTTAGATCTATCAAGGTCAGACGACTTGTCCTGTGAAATGTTCAACTAGTAAACTATTATAATTGATGCACATATTCGTGTTTTATATATTTTGTTATTTTGTTGTAATAAAGTTCTTATGGCTACACCAGACCATTGCTGATTTTGTACAGTATGTTCATTTTCAATGTTTTAGCTTCTTTGTGTGGACCTCAACAGGGTTAAAAACACTGAAATGCCACAAAGGGGATTTTTTTTCATTAATGTATCATTGCTTGGTTATGGCCCTTGCTGTGTCAATTTTATGTTAAAACATTGATGTACAGTATATGTTTTTCTGAATGCTCACAGTATATATTAATTTATAAAATAGACTTCAGTACTATGGAAGCCCGTTTCCGCCAGGGAGTAAAAAAAAAATGCGCTATGGTATCTCAGAATTCCGACTTAGTAATTAGTAAGGCACGAACTAGGGTGGGAGCGGCGAGGGCACAAGCCCTAGAACCCGAATCTGTTACTATAACAAAAGGACAGACAATGAAATATGGCTATTTCGAAGTCACAAATGTGAGATATAAAGTCGGAATTCTGAGTTACTAAGTCGGAATTCTGAGTTGCTAAGT